TAATAACAGTAAAAACAGATCATGACCACCAATTCTTAGCATGGATCAAACAAATGTGTAACAATGTACAAAAATCTAATTAGAAGAAGCCTGTTAGTGTAGCGTCAATGTTTTGTCAGTGTGTTTGTGTAAATGTGTGCATGCGCACAGGCGCATAAGCGCATCCCTGCCTAACGCTCTTCCTCCAGGCTAGTCTTCAGTCTCTAGAGAGTATGAGTCTGTGATCTATGTGTGTGTGTGTGTGTGTGCAACTTGTTTCAGATTCAATTTCCTTTGGGCAATGTCTCATTCTCTTCTGGGGTAAAGAGGTTCAAACAAACATCACCTTTTCCCACACACACACACACACACACACTTACTCAAACTCTTATGAACAACAGGCAAACATGTGCCTGTTTGGGGAGAAAACCTTCTTATGTTGAATCACAATGCAAAATACTACAAGAAAGTGTTTAATACTTCTAACCAGAACACAGCTGGTCATTAAGCATTAGCTGGTGTATTTTAAAGGCTGTGAGAAAATGTGTTCAGTACCTCTGGTTTGCTGAGGCTAGAGGACACAAGAGATCCTGAGCCCACGTCCAGGTCCCACTGCTTGCGTCCCTGGTTTAGAGGATCCAGAGCGGCGATTCTCCCATCAAGTGTGCTGATGATCACCAGAGCCCTGTCAAACGCATGAAACACACAGGTTCACATAAAGTGACAAGGGTTTCCATCACTCTATATTGTACACTAGACATTTCCCTTCATCTTCAAATTTGTTTGACATAGAGATTATAGGATGTATATGAATTATATCCAATATAAATAATGCCTAATAACAATACATGGCCAATATTAAAATACTATTTTGTCTAAATAAATTTACTAATTTACTATTTTAAATCAATTTAAAATAAATAAACTATGTGACCCTACAGCTATACAGTATGAAACACAATTGATGTTCATTTTGAAATTTGCTCAAATGACATTTAACAGTGGTATTAAATTATTAGTGTTTTTATTTTAGTGGTTTTATTAATGTATGGTTAGCCTACATTATATATTGTGGATACCTACATACTGAAGTAGGTAGTAAAGTTCTCAGCACCAAATGAATTGTCAAAAGAAATAATAATAATAATAATAAATCTTCAAGTTCTTATAATATCACTGGCAATATTTTAGGTGTAGGGTGGCCAATAGCCAATATAATGTCAAAATATGGATAAATAAATAACTTATTTTACACAATATTGTAATCTAATCAAAAATGTTGTAAAATCATTGAAAGTAGTAATTCTTTATCCATCTAGGTCCAATTCTCACGATTAACAAACTATTAACTACGACTTTTGCCTCAAACTCCTAATTTGCTTATTAATAGTTATCAAGGTAGTTGTTAAATTCAGGTATTGGGTAGGATCACGGATGTAGAATATGGTCATGCATAATATGTACTTAATAAGCACTAATAAACAGCCAATATGTTAAGAATAAGCATGCTAATAAGCAACTAGTTAATAGTGAGAGTTGGTCCCTAAACTACAGTGTTATCTTATCATCTGTTAAGGCAGATAGTTTTGGATTTATTACAAGGGCGATTTGACCCATAAACTCTTAAAAGTCTATAACGCCTACAATTGGGCAAGAGAACTGGGAGATTAAACTGTGTGCACACCAAACTATCACAAACTTTTTGTTCTTTTGTAGTATGCGATAAAAGCTAACAAGAACTGAAGTCTACACAGGACACTTCACGGCTAAAGTGCCAGGGAACTTTTTAATGGACAGGGGCAAACGCACCTGCAGGGTAGAGAGTAGGACTAAGAGCGAGGGAGTCACTTTGATCAAGTCTAAAGAGAGTTAGCACATCGATCCAGACATCAACACTGATGAGGTCAGAATTTAAGGGCACTTCAGTTCTGCTCATCCAATGCTCTGGGCCGACACCATTTGTTCTCATTCTCCAATAGGATTGAAGAGCAGAAAATGTTATGGCACAGCACTCCTGATTGGCTGGAGGGCCCCTCCAAAAATGTGAGGGCTGATTGGTTGTTGCTAAGCAGTGGGCATTGTGAGAATGAATGAGGACACTACACAGGTCCCACCCAGCCAAAAGATTGATTGAGGGAACGAAAAAAGAAAAAAAACTAAGAGACTAAGAGAGAGAGAGAGAGAATAAAGGAAGAATAACAAATCTCATTTTCTGGATGAGATCAAAGAGTAAGTGTATTCCACAGGCTGTTTAACCTCAGAAATAAAATTTAAAAAAATAAAAAGGAGTACAAGGGACTAAAATAGAAGAAAAAACACTTGAGAAAAATTGTAAAACTAAATTGAAAAAAATTCAACAGTTTGTCTGACACCAATTCAATTGTGTAGATTATATTATAACAAACAGCATAAAAAAGTGCCATGAGATGTAATTAAAGTAAATGCACACAAAATTAATTTAAGTAATTTTGTGATAATGTAGGCCTAGTACACTAAAACTAAACTCATACTCTTGTACTCTCTGTAATTTGTGCATTTTACATTTTACTTTCCTCTTCATTTTAATATATGTTCACTTTTATTTACTTTTTTGTATTTTATTGCATTTTACTGCACTTGCAATTTTCTACATTGTTTCTTTACTATTTGTCTCAGTCACATGATTTTTTTTACTCATCTGGCATATAATTTATGACCATCAGCAGGGCAAAGTAATGGTGTTGAATACAAAAGCGCATATATAATATAAATTTTATAGCCAATGTCAATATATATGCTCTACTATTTTTAAGGAAATTAAAAAAAGTTTTTCAACAACACAAATGTCTGCATGTAAACGGTTAAAGCAGCTTCACTTTATCTTAAAGCCTTTTAAAAGTGTGCCTGAACACTCACAAATGACACTCACCCTTTTGCCTCTCTCAACATTATTCTTGTCATGCTGTTTAACACACTTAGCACTTTACACACAAACAGATCCTTAAGTGCACGTCCACACACACCTGTGATCCCTCCCTCTCGCTCTCACTTACTATCTCGTCTCGCTCTCAGAGGAAGTCAAGAGATTCTCAACTCAGACCTGATGTAAACAGACTGCATGGAAGAAAAAAAAAAAAAAAAGAAACAACTAGGGTATCCGAGGGGTTTGGTCCAATCACACGAGGCTTTCCTCTTCCCTCAGCCAATCAGGGCTTAGACGCGTTTCTGCACTTTCAATCAGAAACCACTCCTTTAAAAAACACCAGCCAATGGACATAAAAAGCCCACTGTAACCACGCCACAGCGAGCAGCTCTTATCAGCCAAGTGTGAGTTAGCAAGTACCATTGCAAAACACACGCGCACAATAGGGGCATGGGGAGCACGTGGCCAAGTTGTGAAAACAGAGGCACACCCCTGCGGAGAAGCCGCAGAATTCATGGCGAGTTAACATAGTATAGTAAAGTACTTTGTGCAGACACAATTGTTCAGCATGGATGACATGCAGAAACCTGATACGGCAATTAAGCAAACAGCAATGTGATTCAAGCAAAAGTTCACTCAGAAATTAAAAACCTGTCATTTTTCACCGTCCCTTTCAAACCCAATCTTTTTTCAGTGGAACCCAAAAGCAGACGTTTCAAAAAATGTCCAGGCTGCTATTTTTCATAGGGACTGACGAGTTTTCATCAGGTTCCAAAAAGAAACATCCATACACTTTTTTTCTAAGGGTGCAGGCAAATTTACATTTGTAGGGTGAAATTCTGCAGACAAAACGCAGTCATCTCAATAGGAATTGGGAATGCGTCCTCACATGGATTTCACATCGGATTTAAGTTTGTAGAGCTTCAAATGTGTGAAGTTGACCATTATAAAGCTGCTTGGTTTGGAAGTGACTTCTGGATAAGCCGTGCTTCATGCACTGCGACAATAGACCTTCTTTGCTCAAAAAGTTTTCGTTAATGCGACCGCACCTTAGATCTTCTGAACCCACATGAAAGCTTTAGTAGAGGAACAGACTGAAATGTAAGTTATTGACTTAAAAATTTACATTGATGCTCTAATATCTCCTTTTGTGCACTGCAGAAGAAGAAGAAAATACATACAATATACAATACATACAGGTTTGAATAACATAAGGCTATAGCATGAAAACAGCCACAAAACACATCATATCCTTTCTTGTTTGGTTATTTATTTTAGCACCATGGTGAGAGACATGTGTGTAATATATATATATATATATATATATATATATATATAAAAACAACAAATAAATAAAACTTTTCTTTGATTTAATATACATTTAAAAATTAAATTTCAGTTAAATTGTCATAAGAATTAACTGAAAAGTAAAGACTTTGAAGAGTTAAAACCAAGTCAAAAGCCTAAATATTGCACATGCATTTTCTGTATAAGTGTAAGTTCTGCTGAATAAAAGTCTCCAAAAACACAGTTTAGAAGGGGCATCTTTTAAAAAAGACAAGATAAAGACTCCAGAATCCACTGAGTTTCCAAAGTGAAAGGGATTTTCTGCTTAAGTGAGCACACAATAAAATATAGCACTGCAGTAGCATGCAGAGCTCGGTATGGAGCGTTACACAAAGCACTCGGCAATGCATTTCGAGGTACCATCTTCCCCAGGCAACATCCGCAGTACACAAACATGATGTCCATACCCGTATATCACACTACAGAAAGAAGAAACCCTCACTAGAACATTCAAACCTTTAGATGCACACACCACGAGGAAAAAGTGCAGTATGTGCATTACTTGTTGAATGTGTAATGGACCAAAAAACTGTGACTAACTGCATGACAAAGTGTGTTCTAATGTAAAAGAGAAAGATGATCAGAAAAACAATAAAAATAAATCAAATTAATAACAAAAAAGAAAATATAACCAGCATTCAAAGGGGCAGTTGACCCAAAAGATTTACTCGACATCTTTCTAAACATGTAGGCATTTCTTTCTTTCGCCAAGCACAAGAGATGATATTTTAGAAAAATAAGACTCAAACTGACTTGTACAAACAACACAGAAACATTTCTCAAAATATTTTATTTTCCACAAAGGAAAAAAATTGTAGGTGAACTATGACTTTAAGGCTAATGCAACCCATTAAAGAAAGTTGCATTCATTCTAACATTGTCTCCTCCATCATGCAGAGTTTTTCTCCACGTATTGATTAAAGCATTTACACAGTGTGTCTGAGTGTGTGTGAGTGTGTGAGAATGCTTAATCTGTCCTCTGACTCCATGGCACGTTCTGACACGCCCAAGCTGCTATCTCCATGCAGAACTATAAGCGCTTCTGCCATCTCAATTGACCTTGCTAAATTTGGTGCATCCTGCAAAAACTGCAGTACAGCAATTGCACAGAAAAGCATTTCTAGCTGATTTTGATTATGAAACTAAACAGTGAGCACACCTGTATGATTTTTCAATAAGCTCCGACACTCGCTTTGAAAAAAAATACCACCACAAACTTGCACGAGAAAACATGAAAGGCGTGTGTCACACAAACTAATTCCATCATGCACAAGTCACTGTCATTTCACTCCTCTTTAACTCTCATCATCTTCCTCCTGTTTCTATCTCTCTAATGTGCGCGGTGCGGAGAAATCAAAACTCTGTCACATGGTGCTGCTCTCGTCCTATTGGACGAGTCCTGGCCTTGATCTAGGTGGCTGATTTGTTGTTGCTAAGCAGTGAGGAACCAAACTACAGAAAAGCCTAGGTCCTGACTACAGGGTCCTAGCGCCTTCGGTTTTGGGTCTCGATGTCCCCCCTTTACTTTCTCCCTCCTCGTCTCCCCAATCTCTCCCTCTGCCACACCTCTCCCATCTTCCCACCCATTGCTGCAGTGCAGTAAGGTGTGTCCTCTGCAACGAATGAAGCTTCGGTTTTGGGTCTCGATGCCCCCCCTTTACTTTCTCCCTCCTCGTCTCCCCAATCTCTCCCTCTGCCACACCTCTCCCATCTTCCCACCCATTGCTGCAGTGCAGTAAGGTGTGTCCTCTGCAACGAATGAAGAAACGGCTTAAAAGAATCAAACCACAAACGGAGCAAAAATCAAGCAGGTCCGGAGTAAGCGTTGCCACATGGCTAAGAGCAACAACACAGAATCGACATCCTAAAAAAGAAACGAGCCATTCATAAAACTGGTTTTATTTTAATTGTTTGAAGTGAGAAATTTCAAAAGTGCTCAGGTAAAGTTTGCATAAAAACATGCTAAGTTTGGTTCTGATTACAAGATGATAAAGTCTTATCGCAAAGTGATGAACTTCACTCCAGATCATGAGATCATATAAAGCGAATCTGACAGTCTCTCGCTAGTTACCTAACCATCAAGTCAGACAAAAAAAGCTCACAACAACAAGCGCACGAACTCTACCCTTTCCTTCCCTCCTGCTCTCTCTCTCTCTTCCAACTCAAATTCTGAGCACTTTTTCCTTCCAATCGTCTAATTGGCCAACAAGTTTGCCAGCTCAGCTCTTCTGATTGGCTGTTGCTAAGCAGTAGGCAGTTGGAGCTAGACGTCTGGCAGAGTTTGCACCAGGCAGTGGAGAAGCGGCATCACCGTGAGTGTGTATTTGTGTGTGTAAGAGAGAGGGCACCTCAAGCGAAGTGTTCCTCCCAAAAGGTCCCTCAGGAATCACCAGCAGTCCAAAAATACACACACCGAGGCAAAGCTGAGCTACATTAGTCTATAGGCCATACCTGGATCCTGTTCGCCAAACCAATTTAAAGGAGAACACATACGTACCACAAACTAATTCAGTTATCTGTGCATTTAAACAGCAATTGTGTTGCCTAGTCTTTGCTCTAACAGCAGTCTGGGAACTGGCATGTGGTTGGTTGCTTGGTGAGTCTGGAAGATCTTTACAATATGTTGTTGTTGTTTTTCTTCCACCTTTACTAGGCTTAATGGACTGAGTAACAACAAGTTGATGAGAGCATCTTTATTACAAGTGTTCCCCACAATCTTTGCTTTTGTTGTGAGTAGATCTCTCCAGGGTTAGACTCCCATTTGCCAGTGGACCATGCTGTGCAACACATAAAACTGTCCCAGGAGAACACCATCCCCCAGTAAAACTGTTCCATGTCACGGGGAAGGCCTGAGGGTAATGATTATCATCGCTGTGTTACTGAGAAGAGAGCACAAAGGTCTGGTTCTTGGTTCATGTATTATCAATAAAAGCCAGGCACTTGTTTGTTTGTTTACATGTGATTGATGGTTGCTTGAACACTGCACATAAATGCATGAGATGATTTGATATTGAGGAACATGGGGGGGAACATGTAGAGGTGTGAGCGAGTGTTTTATCTTGGCAGCAGGTGTGAAGGCAGCTGCTACTCTCAACCCTGTAGAGATACCGAACCAATGCAGTGTTAAACACACTACACACTATTCCCTCGAGTGTGCATGACACATATAACTATGCCACCAGAAACAAAGACCAGCCCCTCCTTCCAGTGATGTATGACTACTGTCAAGACAAAGTCCCAGGAACTTCACATTAAAGCATCGCTGAAGTGGTGTTTAAAACTGGACTTCCAGCGGGCTATTCATACACACAGATAAAGCATCTTTTTGCACTGATCATTTTCAACATATCTTGTAGTGCATGGAAGCTGACACTCATATAAACCCCAACTACGTTTTTTTTTTTTTTTTTTTTGCTGTTTCTTGGGTAAATGACTTTGTGGTTGATGCAGAGTTGCAAAAAGCATGCATGATATTTTTTGTTATTTCCTCTATAACCTGCAAAATATATGAATTTTCTCTTCTTTAGGCTGTTTAAAACAAGCAGCCTTTTCAATATCCAACTGAGGTGGTCCGTGCCATGCAGGTGTGCAGATAACTGCTGCTACATTGCTATCAGCAATACCAGAGCAAGTGCATGTCTCATTCATTCAAAGATGTTTTGAAGAAAGTTATTAACCAAACAGTTTTTGTGACCTGACTTCCAAAGAAGAAACCTGATACATTTCTCAAAATATCTTCTTTTATGTTCCACAAAAGTCTCAAGAATTTTCATTTTTGGGTCAAATATCCCTTCATATTAAAAGCTCAAAAGCAAAAATTTACAATTGCAAATGTGCAAGTGTATGTCTCAATTATTCATAATTTTGCACGAAAATTGCAGATTTTGTGCTTTTAATGAAAAGGGATTGTTTACGTAAAAATTTAAAATTCTTGAGACTATCTTTTGTTTGTAACAAAAACTGTTTATGTTAATAACATTCTTCAAAACATCTTTACACAAAACATGTGTTTCACAGAAGAATGAAAGTTGTACAGGTTTGGATTCAGTAGAACATAAGTAAATGAGTAAATGACAGAATTTTTCATTTTCATGTGAACCATCCCTAATATCCCTTAAAAGCAAAATCTGTATTTTTTTGTGTAAATTTTATTCCCCTTAAGTTAAATTAGTTAACTTAATGAAAATAATTTCAAAAAATAAATAAATTAATTAATTAAATTATATAATTATATATTAGAATATTTTATATATAAAAAAGAACAATATAACAAAATATTAGCACAAAAATATTTACAAGATATCAATAAAATATTTCTTGATAAGTTCCAAAAGGTGTCTGCTTCAACACTTCCTGAACATAACCATATACCGGAGTCAAATCTATATATAACATGTTTCAGATGTAACAGAACTGTTCGTCTTTTGCCTTCAAAGGTTTTAGAAGAATCCTCAGCACTGGCAAACCATATCCACCCTAAAATTCCTCGCTGTAACTCAAGCGAGGGTTTCCTGCTCCTTCTCATGTTATTTTCATCTTTGGAACACAGTCTGTTCTAGGTACTTCGATGTGTTGTTGCTTTTCTATTTCACCTCTTATTCTAAAGCCTGAGCCTGTAATTATCAGGACCGGACTCTGGTCGTGCCAACTTGTGCTTGTTTGGAAAAATCCTCCATTAATGGGTGCGCCACACATCGATGTGACAGCATGTCGATGGTAAGGCAAGGTGTGAGAGATTTTTTACTGCAGTGGAGCAGATCAGGTGTTCCCAATGATATTATCAGCTCCTGTGACATATTTGTAGAACCAGTATCTCCACCAAAAAGGTAGGCGAAAAACATTCACCTTTAAGCTCCAAAGGTCTTAGACAAAATGTTAGATTAAAAAAACAACAAACTAAAGCACCAAAACAGTTTCAATTAGTTTTAAAGCAAGACCCTCGAGCTCCCCATCCACCTATTCGACACTGCTTCTTTCTAAGGTGGGGCAGAGGGCTCGGATGCGGTAACACACTGATATCACAATCAGCAGAGCAGAACGACTAATTCCCGCCACAAACAAAAACAAAACATCCGGAAAGTTGGAGTGCGCGTCTGTAGTTGCGCGCTGAGCAGCGGTTTAAAGTGCGTCAGCGCAGCCTCCAGAGACCGCAGTCTACCGACGGACACCGGCTTCCTTTGAATAGAATAGAGAACTAATGTCTGAAAAAAATATCTCCCGTACAAACCTATTAAAAACGGCATTGTTAATGTTACAGTTCAAAAGACGTCTCTCTCCTCCACTGGTACAGTAAACTGTCGCTTTTTGGCGTCTTTAAGTGTGTTTACAAACAACATTGTAGTCAGACTCAGTCAGGCTGACATGCATCGCACGCCCACACTCAAAACACTGCAGCAGTGCTCAAGACAGGAAGAGCATCCTCAGGCTGCGACAGCAGTAAAACAAGTTTCGAACTCCAGAAAACAGTTCCGTTTATATAACATAAGGCAGTCCGAGTATATAAGGTGCTCTTTAAGTTCACAAACACACACTCAAGCCATCGAGTGCGATAGGAGAGATAAGCGTTCTGCACTGGCTCTGAGACTGCTGTCAGTCATCTGAATCTCCATAGTAACAGGAAAAAAATTCTAACTTAACAGATTTTTGCGTACAAGTAGCCATATTATAAATGGCAGCGTCAAGTCGATCTAAAATGTTATGCTGTCACGCGGATTTCATTTGGTAATGCAAATATTTGCACATATTTATACCCTCTTCTTGGCCCCACGGGGAGAGGTCGACTGCTGCAAACGTCCGCCCATCACGAACTCCAGCTCGGCTGCCTTACGCAAACTTTACTAAAGTTGAATAAGACTACAGAACGCAACGTGACAACCTAAAAAGCGTGTCACGCCCAGACAACCCGAAAACTTCTGCTATGACTCGGTGGAAACTGCCTAACTTACCTCCGCTGCTTGTGGAAGTTTGCGTCGCTGTCTCCAGACGGCTCTTCGCTCTCCCCGGTCGAGCCGTACTCGTCGTCCTCTACGGTCACTTCTCCGATGCCAGGGGCTCCTCCGACGCTGTCCAGTGGCCGCTCCATAACGGCAGCATGTTCCGCCGTCTCGGTGTTTGGCGTCGGAGCCACTTCGAGTTCTCTCTCTGAGAGAGACTGACTTTGCAAAGTAACCGTTAACGTTCTCAAAACAAGCAGCAGCAGCAGGGATGTGCATACGTTTCCAAACTGAAACCCCCTTTCCATTGGGACAAGTGGCACATGAGTAGTTAGACAATCACATACCAAAATAAAGTGAATTTTAAAAACTAGTCTATAAAAGGCGTTTTACAATTAAACTCGTAAGCTATTAGATCTCTTTCTGTTGTCCTCTCTTAACGTAAACATGCACTCAACAGCACCATGTTATTCCCTTTATACTTGACGTTGGCCGTGCCGTGGTAACGTCAAGCCCCGCCCCGTATCCAAACGCCCATTGGCTGAGCATGGAAGCAAATCCCTGCAGTGTGTGCTGATTGGTGCTAGCGTTTGTCAATCTTCACCGCTCGTCTACTAAGCAGATTTTGATTGCGTCCTACAACTGTCTTTTACAGTGCAGTCTGTTGACGTGGTCGGCCCTCTAGCCTCTTCATTCCATTGGGCGCTTTTCTTGTCACCCAGAAATATAGGCGGGAGGAAAGGCAGCCCAGAGCGGGTATGGCCATCTTCTTAAGTATATTATTGGCCACACCGTAGAGTTTTAGCCAACAAGATAGTAGTGTTGGCTCCAACATGCTTCACTGGTATGTTTACGGAAGCCGCGAAAGAAGTCTAGTCAACCCATTGGCCTGACAAGCTGTCAATCAAAATCATCGTTACTGTGATTTCTAACAGAGGGGCGTTGCTAATTCGTTCTGAGCGAAACTTGATTGGGTAAAAAGTACAAGGATGGATATAACGACGTGGCCATTTGTTTGCAGATAAAAGTGAGGTCATGTTTGACAGTTTTATTTCCGGGACTTTTGGTATGAAAAGAGTAATGTACTCATCCGTTGCGCAAATTGTAGTAAGTTCAGTATTGTTCTTTAATTTTATATTTCGTCACTTATCGGTTTGTAATTACAGCTTAACAACCATAACACTTCTAAAATAATATAAATAGTTTAGGCAACTTCAGCATTCTAGTTCACTGTTCACTTTTTGTAGTCATGAAGGCTGGCCATTGCGAAATGTATATGGCGCCCTCTTGTGGTTTGTTAAATAATCTTTTAACCCGTGTTTGGCGTAACTGTTAACTGAGCCACACTGGTTATAAAGCCCTTAAAACTGTCTCACTGTCTCGTTTTTATAATGTTTTCCTGATTTTGTTACCTGTAACTGTATTTTCAATCATACTCACCCCTGGCATTGATTTTTGTATGTTCTTTCTTGTGGCATAAAAAAAAACGGGTTAAATAAAGTATGAAATGCAAAATAACTAACAAGATACTTTATAGTTGATTGGTCCGGTTTTAATATTGATTTTCAGTCTAGAACATAACATTTGAAAACCTTAGTATCACAGTGAAATTGGTAGAGTAAAACACATGCTGGTATTTTAAGTAGCACCATACCCAAAAAATCACAGTGACCTCTGTGAAGAGTTTTCATTAACAGAACTGATCAATACATGTACAGAAGATAAGGCTTTCAAGCTGTGCCAACTCACCGCTGCTTTCATCCCTCAACAACAGTGTTCGTGGCCACAGGCACATCGAAAAATTATACGAAACAAAATCAATATCAAAAGCCAAGTGGCATTTCACAACTTAAAAAGAGAGAGAACATTCATTTGTGCTTAGCAATACATACACTACTGTTCACTGGTTTGCAGTTGGTACTTTTTTTTTCAAAGAATATTTTAATCAGCAAAGACATCAAATTGATCAAAAGTATCAGTAAAGGACAGTAAATATTTATAATTTTATAAATTTATAAAAAAAGATTTATATTTCAATAAATACCATTCTTTTGATAACATTTGAAAACCTTAGTATCACAGTGAAATTGGTAGAGTAAAACACATGCTGGTATTTTAAGTAGCACCATACCCAAAAAATCACAGTGACCTCTGTGAAGAGTTTTCATTAACAGAACTGATCAATACATGTACAGAAGATAAGGCTTTCAAGCTGTGCCAACTCACCGCTGCTTTCATCCCTCAACAACAGTGTTCGTGGCCACAGGCACATCGAAAAATTATACGAAACAAAATCAATATCAAAAGCCAAGTGGCATTTCACAACTTCAAATAGTGTATTTTATCCAGGGGCAGAATCCTCTGAAATGATTGATTACTGAACTAAACTAACCGCTGTGTGCTGGCAAAGGCCACTCGTTTTGCTTGAGGTTTCACGTTGGAGCGTCTGAGGAAATCTGTCATAATCAACAAAGCAGATTCAAAATGATCATACAAACCCACAGACACTATACTAACGATGCAATAGGGTGTGACTGAGAATTTCTCAAAAGCTGCATGCATTTGTAAGGCTAGGAACTATGCTTTGTGAAAATATAAATTTATGGAGGCACAGACGGAGGCCACGATATTCATACATTTGTACAGACGCCCATGTAAGACAACATTCATGGCTACGTAAAGCAGCACAGAAGGCAAACTAACACTGTAGATGTACCGTATGGACAGTCTCTGTAGACTCCAGCCCAACATAAGCAGAATTGTCCAGACAGAGGATATGAGAGGAAAAACAGGTATATCTGAAGGATCTGAGGATCTAATGTTGCATTGTTGTGTGAAAATCCATATTTCATGTGCACAGCCACATGAGAGGCACTGATCAGACGTCTGACGGTTTCTGTAACAGAAAATAAGATAACCTGTAGGGAAAGAGCTGCCAGAGTCTGTGTATTTGAACGGCACTTGAGGTGTGCAGGCTGGTCTATCGCAAGAGCAGAGGAAGATCTTCTTAGTTCTAAAAAAAAAAAAAAAAAAAGTATCACAGTTTCCAGTTTTTCAACATTTCTTAAGCACAAAATCAGCATATTAAGGCCAGTACACACTGCACCAACAGACACTGACCAATGGCAACAGCCTAATATTGAATCGCTGTTTGTTGGGTATTGGAATATCTGATAAGTGGAGTAATGCTGCTAAAAATTCAGCTTTACCATCACAGGAATGAATTACATGTTTAAATATATATTTAAAATTAATTTTAAACAGTCATTTTAAATTATGATATTTCACAATATTGCCATTTACTCTATTTTTGATCAAATAAATGCAGCCTTGGTGAGCAGAACAGACTTCTTCTAAAAATAAAAAAATAAAACTTTTTAACAATAGAGAAAAGGTTTTCATCTGTACTGACCTGGGATCATCTTGATGGCTGTGTTGACTTCTTTCCAGTTCTCTGCATGCTCAAACTTCCAATCCAGGATGAAGTTACTGTTATCAGTAACCACTGGACCCTAAAGTTCAACATTGTAAAGAAAAATCATCAGATGACTAGACCATCCATTTCATAGAAGCCCACTACATTCACTACATGGTACAATGCTACTTTCTGGGAAAGTCAAGGCAAGATTTTAGAAGGAAAAAAACAAAACAAGTCAAGATAGGGAGCATGTCAAAGAATAATATACTATACTACAGTACAATGATGATTAGCCATTCAGTTGTATCCGACTCTTGGCGATCCAATGGGCCAACTCGCGCCATGCTTTCCGATCTTCTACTTTCTTTTTCAACTGTTCAATGCCTAAGTCTGTGTCACTTCTAATGATATCAAGCCAATGTGTTTTTTGGCGGCCTCTTTTCGTTTTTCCGCTACCTATGGCAAGCATCATTGCATGTTCTAGTGAAGCTGTTCGCATAACAGGGCCGAAAAAGGTAAGACGCAGTTTTGTAATTTTGCCTTCAAGTGACATCTCTGGTTTCATACACTTCAGGACCTCTCTATTGGAAACCCTTGCTGTCCATGGTATTCTCAAGAGCCTTCTCCAACACTATAACCCAAAGACGTCTATCCTCCTTCGATCGTTTTTTTTCACAGTCCAGCTTTCACATCCGTATATTGATATAGGAAATACAATTGCCTGAACTAGTCTACATTTGGTTGTAAGATTGATGTCTTTGCTCTTCCAGATTTGTTGCATGCTTAGCATTGCATTATGTCCTAATGATATTCGACGCTTTATTTCATGTGTACCGTCGCCGGTTTGGTCAATCATAGATCCCAAGAAGCAGAACTCCTTAACGCATTCAATTTCCTCTCCATTGATGGTTACGTTAATTAACCATCCAGATCCAGCTGTAGACATTATTTTAGTCTTTTTGATGTTCAGGTGGAGTCCCATCTTTTCACTTTCCCTTTGAATTGCTATTATAAGGTGTTTCAGAGCATCCTCGGTTTCTGCTAAAAAAAAGTTGCATCATCAGCATAACGAAGATTGTTGATATTTCTGCCTCCAATCTTCACACCTATGTCAGAATCTTCCAGACATGAATTCCTCATTATCACTTCAGCATAAAGATGAAAAAGAAAGGGGGAGAGAATACACCCTTGTTTCACACCCCTTTCAATTCTGAAGCATTCTGTGTCGCTATACTGCGTTCGAACAACGGCTTCTTGATCTGTGTAAAGCGATCTTATCAACTGGGTCAGATGAGGTGATATTCCCAATTTTTGAAATACCTTCCATAGCTTATCATGTTCAACACAATCAAAGACCTTACTGTAGTCAATGAAACACATATAGATATCTTTTTGAAATTCATTGCATTTTTCAATGATCCATCGCAAATTTGCTATGTGGTCACATGTGCCACGAACTCGACGGAAACCAGCCTGCACATCAGGTAGTTCTGTTTCTATGATTGGGAGTAGGCATTGCAGAAGGATTTTTAGAAGGATTTTGCTTATGTGAGCGATAGTTGCTACAATTCCTTGCATCACCTTTCTTTGGTATTGGTATAAAAACTGACCTTTTCCAATCTTTTGGCCACTTCCTGGTTTCTCAGACCTTTTGGCAAATTGCTTTAATGGCTGCAGGTGGAATTGGCCTCAGCAATTCCGCTTGGATACGGTCAAACCCAGGGGGCCTTGTTGTTTGATAGCTGTTGCATCGCACATATAATTTCTTCATTCAAAATAGCAGGTTCTATTTCCACTGGGTCACAGTTGGGTTGTTCTCCAACACTGGTGTTGGAGTATTATATTGTATACTACAATATAATACCCTAAATAGTGCAGTCAACACAAATGTGATGACTTAGTTCTTTTCAACAATAAACCAAGTTCTTTGGGTTGAATGAGTTATTCAAATTAAATCAGAGAAATCATGGAGTCCGTATTTTAGGGCAGGACATTGATTTTGTTTTACATGTAATGTAATAGAAGTATATTATAATAAGAAGTAAAAAAAAAAAAAAAGAACCCTTAAAAACGTAAATAGCACAAATGGATGGAATTCAAGATCCATTAGTAAGACTCTCTTACAGCTTTACTGACTGCCATCCTCAGCACAGCCTCTCCTCCAAAGCGCCGGGCAATGGCTCTGGACACAGGCACATACGCCATGGGAATGACCTCCACCGGCACACCTTTCTTCCACTGTTGCCCCAGAGCCTTCGAGTCCTTTCTACCCACACAAGCAATGAAACGACATCACACAAACACATCTCAACTTCTAGTGGAAGACTCTCGTATAATTCTAGCAATCACAGGCTGGGTTATGATGAAACATTACCACTGTTTCACTACATGCAGTGATCAGCAGTATGATCAGCAGTAATTATGGGATGCTAAATATATACCAAATATTGTAGTTCAAACAATAGTGCACAGTGGGTTGATTTTCTGGGAAATGTCACTTTGGATAAAAACATCTGCTAGACACCACATTCATACCTATAGTCTGCAATGACAATAAAGTGTTTGGCACAGCCAGCTACAATCTTCTCCTGGGTTAAGCATCCTCTGTTTTGAGGGAGGAAAAGAAAAGGACATGACACTAGACCTGATGACACCTCAGGGATTTCACACAAATGAAGAGAAATGGAAAAAATACTTGAATTAAACTTTAATTTTCCAATCATACCCTCCTCCTTTAATCAGCGTCAAAGCAGCATCAACCTCATCGGCTCCATCAATCGCTACATCCAGCTAAAAGACGAAAAAAAAGACTCTCAAAATCAAAATTTGATTTATTTGTTAGCTCTTCATTAATTCACAAACCCCCTGCAGTTCCCTCATAAACCCCCAGGGGTTCACAAAAAACCCAGTTTAGGGAAAGCTGATGTAATTAAATTTGGGTAACTGAACTCTTTATGCTATTCAGGGTGTCATGGGTACTCATGTGATAAATTAATCCAGTCGTAGTAAAGTTTTTTGGCAAAAAGCTGTTACTTTATTTCGGCCCAACAAATGTTACCTATTGCTATTCCAGCATCAAAGTCAAATCATATATTTTAATTGCCCTTTCCAACATAGCATTGTTTTACTAAACTTTTCCATTCTATAATGTTATCTAAGCTAGTTAAGTTGTCTAAATCATCTTTTTTACTTTTTTTTTTACCCATTCCAGCTGCCCGTCCACATGCCGTCTCGGCCCAAACTCACCTCAGGATGCCTGTCTAAATCAGACAAAGTGAGACCGTGCTGCAGAATCAGCTGACGGGCCTGGATCAACACAACTCAATTAAGTTAGTTATAAAACACAGGAGTTTTCTAGTTTTAAATGAAGCTCCAAATGAATGAACGCTGACCTGAAAAGACGTGGGAACACACACGATATTCAGCTTCTCCTGTCTGACCCTCTCAGCTAGAAAGAAAACATATTTTACTAATTATCACTGTTAAGAGCTCTAAGCATGAGTACGTAGTATTAGATCACATGTCTTACCCAGCCTATCCACAGCATAGACGATAGTTGAGCCACTGCCCACTCCAACTACCTGATTATTCTGAAAGAGAAATGAAAAGTCACATTTTATAGCATAAGCATAACCCAACCCAACCAAATATAGTCATACATCAGACCACCACAACACTGATAATAAAGCCTGAATTCATTTATTTCTTTCAACAGGGTCAGTAAAGGAGGTGCTTAACCTTGAGGAAATATTCTTTAGCCCAAACAGTTGATCATGGCGCTAGAAACAACAAGGTCATGGGTTTGGTTTTCAGAGAATGCATGAAGTGCTAAAATGTACACCTCAGGAGGTCAAACCAATTTTTATATTCATTTTCAAGTAGGTATATAATTCTTACTTTTTTATTTAAGCATGTTACTAAATGTATCTAATAGGCATCTCAACAACAACAACAATAAAAGTGTTCATGACTGTTTTACAAGCTACAAGCTTAATCTCAATTTGGAAGCATGCGAGAGTCAGGTGAGGTTTGCAGAAACCAAAGTTCACTTTGCTAGTCCAGTTTTTACCAGATTCACCTTAATCACTCAACTGACCCTAGTGTGTTACAAACAATTAATTATTTATAGTACCCACAGACTGCACCAGTTAGCCATTTCCAAAGGTTTAATTTGAGCAGAATTAGCATCTTTATCGCCTAGCTTACTGTATGTTTAAAGCAACCTGCTGCGTAAATAAACACAGGTGCTCAACTGATGCCACCTGAGCCACACTCACTTACTAACGTTAGCTGACTTCACTGTAACATCCCAGCTAGCATGTTTGAAGCTGAAGTGTCACAGCGGATACTCACGATTAACGTTACATACTATAACTGCCAAAGCAAATACAAAACACCATTACTGCAGTGTTGGCGCGTATTTTAATAACGCTACGTACATCGAGCATCGTGTTTGCTACGCATGTTTATTCACGCCTCCTAAAGTATTTAAAGCACCCGTTTATCCAGTTAACGTTAAACTAATGTAAGTACCGTTAGCGTTAATGTGTCACTCGCACCTAAGGTAAATACACAATCTCACCTGTATGTGGTTGTCCACAGCAGCATAAGCTGCCAGTTTTTTGGCCTCTTCAGCCATTAGAGTGCCGTGGTGCCGCCTGCTGCCGCTACACACTGTTGTTTCCCCGGCGGAGAGAGGAGGAGAGATCTGCTGCTCACCGCAAACTCAACCCACCTCCTCCGCGGCCTCATCACACAGCGCCTCCACGACCAACACAACGAGATGCGTGCCTCAATAACATATGTGCACGAGCAGAGGGATATTAGAGAAGCTTAACTGAACAGATATTAAAGGACGCTCAACATATCAGCTGTCAGATAAGTATTAGTACGGTGTTTTCATAACAGAGCAGAGTACAGTGAATTCCGATTCCGCGTGAGTCGGATCTCAATGAATCAGTTGCACGAACCGTTTGAGTCGGATCTTTTCATCCAATTGGTTTAAAATATCAAGTCTGATCTTTTTATTAGAGGGAGAGAAAAAAATCGGTCAACAAATCATCGACTGAATCTTGAATCGTCTCTTTCGGACAATATTTCCGATTCGTAATGAGAATCGATGACAGTTGGAGTAAACCGAGGAGGATTGGCTGATGGGGCGAGAAGGTAACCTTAATAACTGATCATAAATCACATGCAGAAATATGTTTTCAGTAGTGATGGTAAAACTAAACTTTCTAAAGAGGATACAACTGTATTGAAACTGGGTTTATTACTGGGTTGGCCTTTATTGTTTATTTTATTTTTATCACACACGAAATTTGGTTTTAATAGCATTTTATTAACAACACCCAGCCGAGAGTTAACATATTTAAAATATATTCATATCAGAATGACTTGCCTTTGAATGAGCCGAATCAAGGCTGCAATAATCAAATGAAAACTAAAACGCAATAAACACTGGTAATTGCTTATGTGCAATATGGTTTGGTTGTAAGTATTATTATTATTATTACAGCCACTCTAGGAATCAGGGACCACGTGTGATGTAAAGAACCGCTGAACCGTTTTTTGTTTTTTTTGATGAATTGTTCAAATGAACCGATTCCCCCTTAGAATCTGTAATGCTGTCATTAACTATACTTAACATGACCAGTAGAGGGCAGTTTATGCCAACATTATTTTTAATTTGTGGTATGTGTAGTAAAAGCATTTAAACACATTAATAAACATTTTTTTTTAAATTAACTGTGGTAATTAGCAATGAAACTATAACCAACTATAAATAGAAAACAGAGGAGAGCTGAAACAGATGGGTATCAATATATCTCTTTATTTGGCAATCAGCTTGAAATGATCTAGATTTCAGTGTATAGCATACCCCTATTAAACCCACACAATCCTTCCAATAAACATCTCTTATTTACCATAGTTTTTACATATTGCAGTTTACAAATTTAGCTTATCTGTTTGACAAAATCAATTCGACAATGGATCTTTTTTATGTGCTATATAAAAATCTACACAGTATACATTCATGATTAGAAAAAAAAAATTAAAAACAGCACAGAACAGAACTCGTCAACATATCCCACCCAGGTGTGAGCGATCACAAATTAAAGCTGAATACTTCAATATTACAGTAAATACTAAGAGATGTCCAATGACAAACAGGATTACTGAAGGGAGGTTGTTTTTACACCAGAGGTCTGGACTCAAGGAGAATAACTATGATACCGTTACAGGGAAGATAGAGAGAGAAACAGCCAAACAGGAATGCTGATTACGCGAGTGGTGCGAGATGTTCAAGAGAAAACCAACTTTTTCAACAGTACATCTAATCTCTCTCTCTCTCCGAAGCTTAAAGCTCTCCATGACAAGAATCAGTCGAGTCTGCTTCTCAGCTTTCTCTAATCTCATATTGCCTATGATTAAGTGCACAGGTGCTCACTTTTTTGCCCACAGTTAGTCAAACCATGTCTTTTCTCAATTTGTGCGCCTTCGTTTATAACGTCGCTCTCTCCAAGAATGTAACATGGTTTGATGGGTCAAAATCATCAGATATCTGCGTCTTCCGACTTCTTTTATTCGGAAAGATCGCAAACAACTATAAACGAGTATAAAGTAGGGATATAAAGGTACTATACCTTCATTTGACAATTATTTCTAGTTGCTTTTAATAATAGCACAACTAATTACATAATAGTAATACAAATCAAAAGTTTCGATGTCTTATAAAAGGCATGCCTTCTCTGTTTTAAATATATTGTGAGATGGATAGACATGAAAGTGTGCGTTTAAGTGCCTTTCTTTTGGGCATCGTTTATAATCATGCCTCTGTGTGTGTGTGTGTGTGTGACTGGGGAAAGTACACAGATGTGGTGTCCTGTGATGTGCAAAGCTTAAATGTCAGAGTCCATTCAGCAGTGAGTAAGGTCCGCAGAAATGCTGCTTGTTTTTCTCCGTTTCCCTGAAACCCCAGCGCTTAGAATACATTCTCTACACATCAGTGGGTCTCCAAACTAGAAGTCTATTACCTCGAAAGAAAACTCTCTTTAGAAAACTCTAAAATATTGATAGCCTCTAATAATCCGCTGTATTGCTATGAGACACAGTTTCCTAAAATGTGTGTATTCTTTTGGTCCATGCTCACTTCGTTATTACTTATTTGCACTGATATGTACCAAAATGAGCTGGAAAATCTGCCATCGACAGCTTTAGCTTTTTTACTTGATGTATGAGAAGTTTTGCACTGGGTGTGTGTGTGCGCGTCAACGTTCAGCATTAAGAGGTATTGCTACAGATTCAGGTCAGTCTCTTGTTCAACAGCTGTATTTGTGTTGAGAACACTATGGTCGGAGATGGAGTAAATACTTGTGTAATTTAGTCATGGAACAGTTGTCGAGAATACGCGTGATGGTTTCCTACGTCTCATAAATCAAGTGTTTGTGATGCATGGATACATCAGAATAGACTAGAGAGAGAGGGGGTGGGGGCTTTGGTGTACTATTTAGATCATGAGAGAAGCAGTGACTGACCAAGGTCAATAGTCAAACAGTCAGACAGCGGTCTGTCATTCTACTCTGTTTTGAACAGGCATCTTCAAATATCCTTCTTTTCTAATCTCCCTCTTACTCATTCAGTGCTTCACCAGAATGTCTGCTGTTAAACACTAGAATCAGTTTGTTTTTCCTCCCAGAGTTTTGCATTTCAGAAATACAATTCCCAGAGTCCTTTGCTCAGAGGCTCAGTGTGCATGCCTTTACATGCGCTGTGCATCCATAATGTCCAGGTACTTAGCCTCGATGATCCTGGGCAGCAGATAGTTCCTGAAACAGAGACAATATTACATAAATTATGTTAATTACATACAAACAGATAATTAAGAAAATATATATTTGACTTTTATTTGTTTTTTTTTTATATTATTTTTTTTATTAAGAAATGCATTTTTAATGACATTTTTATAATTATTTATTAATGAATAACTATGCATTAAGAAATTAAATGATATAATTATTGAAAAGGAAATCACAAAAGTGCTTCAATTTTTAATAATATTTGAAATATTTTTTGCTAACAAATTATGTGGTGCAACAAACAAAATCACGTGGAGCAACCAACATACGGGAAAAAAACTATTAATAACATAAAATAGGACATGACTGACCTAGTCAGTAAGGTCAGTAAGTCTCTTAAAATATCAGATGTTTTTTGTTTGTTTTAACCAGATAAGATACGTTTAGGTTGTAAAATATAATGTTCTGTGACTACCCAAAAATATAGTATTCAAAATATTTGCATTTAAAAATACATTTGACTTTGAAAATAAAGTACTGGTTCAATTTGTTTTATTAACTTAATATTTTTCATTTTGTCTGAAAATAATTATCAAAATGTGTACCACATGACATTTTCAAACAACAGTTTTTCAAACTAGATGAAAAGCACATGACTACAAAGAGTACATTTCTGAGAACTTGAATATGAGCTTTAGCAAACACCATTTATTACGCATGCACGTGCACAGCAAATCACACACTACACAACAGATGGGAGCTGAAGGCATTTCAGTACTCACCTGATGGGTATGAGGATAAACATTAGCAGAGGAAAGATCATCTTCATATACGGGAGAGGGTACATCCCAAACGCACACAGAAAAAGCAGCTGCACCATCTGAAGGAAAGTGAAGTAATGGATCTTCCTCTGCGGCACCTTGCGGATGTAGTGAGTGGGAGGGTAGGACCTCTGAGAAAGAGTGAAAGAGAGATAAAGAAAAGAAAGAAAAATAGGATAGGATATAGCTGTCATAATGCAGATAAATACAACTGTATAACCCTGAGCATCTTGACTGATGGGATTCGGTCACAGTATGGACACTGGTCACATACACGAGTCTCCACAATACGGATATAAATCAGATCTATTGCTGGGCAATATGCAAATGAATGGAGATCAAGTCCATGATTACATGTCCAGATTTTTCTACTCTTTTTATCCCATAGGGCAAACAGTGTTTAAGTTTGTGGTTGCTACAGCCTTGTATCTCATCTACGATTACTTGTTTAAGTCTAGCTTATTAATGAGATCAACAAGTGTGTTTAATATATTAATATATTTAATTAATAATTTAATAATATCTAGTATGTACGTGTTATGAAAACAAGTTAAACCGAAATACATTACTGTTCAAAGGTTTGGGGCCAGCTTTTATTCAGCAAGGCATTTATAAAAACATTTATAATGTAACAAAATATTTCTATTTCAAATAAATGCTGTTCTTTTGAACTCTCTATACATCAAATAATCCTGGTAAAAACAGCTTTCAACCTTGATAATTTTAAGAAATTTGTTTATATGTTTATATATTAAATATATTTATATATAGTATAAATTATATGAATATAAATATATACATGTAAATATTTTCAAAATATATACTGTATGTGTGTGTATTGATCATCTTCATATACGGGAGAGGGTACATCCCAAACGCACACAGAAAAAGCAGCTGCACCATCTGAAGGAAAGTGAAGTAATGGATCTTCCTCTGCGGCACCTTGCGGATGTAGTGAGTGGGAGGGTAGGACCTCTGAGAAAGAGTGAAAGAGAGATAAAGAAAAGAAAGAAAAATAGGATAGGATATAGCTGTCATAATGCAGATAAATACAACTGTATAACCCTGAGCATCTTGACTGATGGGATTCGGTCACAGTATGGACACTGGTCACATACACGAGTCTCCACAATACGGATATAAATCAGATCTATTGCTGGGCAATATGCAAATGAATGGAGATCAAGTCCATGATTACATGTCCAGATTTTTCTACTCTTTTTATCCCATAGGGCAAACAGTGTTTAAGTTTGTGGTTGCTACAGCCTTGTATCTCATCTACGATTACTTGTTTAAGTCTAGCTTATTAATGAGATCAACAAGTGTGTTTAATATATTAATATATTTAATTAATAATTTAATAATATCTAGTATGTACGTGTTATGAAAACAAGTTAAACCGAAATACATTACTGTTCAAAGGTTTGGGGCCAGCTTTTATTCAGCAAGGCATTTATAAAAACATTTATAATGTAACAAAATATTTCTATTTCAAATAAATGCTGTTCTTTTGAACTCTCTATACATCAAATAATCCTGGTAAAAACAGCTTTCAACCTTGATAATTTTAAGAAATTTGTTTATATGTTTATATATTAAATATATTTATATATAGTATAAATTATATGAATATAAATATATACATGTAAATATTTTCAAAATATATACTGTATGTGTGTGTATTTAATATATACATAATAAATATACACAGAACACACACGTATATTATGTGAACAAAAACTTTTATTTTGGATGCGATTAATCGTTTGAGAGCACTAAAACGTATATTAACTTAATAGTTAAGAAAAATAGTTTTAAGCGGTTAAAAGTTAATAGAAATATCAAACAATTTGGGTCAAATCAAAAATCATTTTGCTAAATCATTCTGCTTTTGGGATGTGCTTAATTTTTTTCTGCCAATTTGTATTGGATCTTTTGTTTTGAAGACTTTTATAGCTTTGTGTAATATCTCATATGCATCTCATACCACCTCCTAAACCATCTCAAATGCTTCTTGAGGGCATTTATACTTATCTATCCGATCAGCAAAAATGCACAAAGCATCCAGCCACAAAATGCATCACTTGGTACAAAGACATTTACATCCATGACAGGTAGAGGGCGCTCTGATGCTTTATTTGCACAGCGGGTGCTCCTCTCTCTCTCTCTCTTCTGTGTTCTTATTTGTAGAACACCTATGACTTTTATTTGCCTTTGTTTTCATCAAAGACACACGCGCGCACACACTTACTTGTTCTTTGAGTAGCAGAGCCATGCGGTCGCACATTTGATTGCCGTCAATGGATGTGAGAGCGATGTGGAGGAAGAGCCCATAGAGCACAGGCTTAGGAATCCACTGCAGGGGCACCGGCAGCAGAAACAAGCTCACACCTATCAGGATGTTAGCCACGAGCGAGGTCACCCGCGTCTCCTTCACACTCACTATACTACACACACGCACATGCACACACACAGAGGAGTCATTTAAAACCAAGCACAGTGTGCCAATAGCTACTAGAATGACGTTTGTGCTTCACAGATTGATTGCGAGTGTAATTGTTTGTGGTGTGGGCTCACGTCTCGTAGAGGTGTCCTCCCTCCACCCTTTCCTCCACGATGGCTAGCTGTCTGACGTGCAGAGTGGAGTGCGGGAACGCAGCATGCATCCACGGCAAGCCCAGCACAGACATCAAAATATTAATCAAGCCAGACAGAGTCAGGTCCCAGTGATACGCCGTGCCCTTCAGTAACCTGTGGCACACACACAGTCACGACTCAACAGTGTTCAACAGCGGTGCCCTACCAAGACCAATATACAATCTGACCCTTCAGGGGCAAAGCGTCCAGTTTCTAGCGATGTGCCATTTTTATGTCAATGCTGAAAGCCAATCATAATATATTTGATGTTTAATATGCAGCTAGGTAGAGCAGGACCAATGAGGTTTCAGTGTGAATTGGGCTTCATGTTGTCATGCAATAACCTACAGTTCAAAAGTTTGGGGTCTGTACCTTTTTTTAAATTAATTAAAATTAACTAATTATTTTAAAAAAAAATTTTTTATTAATAATGCTATTTGGCAAGGATGCAACTGATTAAAAGTGACAGTAAAGACATTTACAATATCAAAAAAGATCAATTTCTAATAAATGCTGTTTTTTTAAAATGTAATTTCTATTCATCAAAGTAGAGGTCTGCGCGGGACTGTTTTTTTAGTCCCGCTCCCGCAAGGTTCTATTCCGCACCCACCCGCTCCCGCTATATATTCACTCTTTGTTCACCCGCTGTCTGCTTAGAATAATTTTCTTCCCGACCCGACCGTTCCCGCTAAATTTAGATCTTGTTTCCAGAATCTCACATTTAAATTTCCGCTACTGAAAGAAAGAGAGATAGGCTGACAAATAAAAGTGTAGTCTGAACAAAATTGTATTTTTTATTCACCTTGTCAAGAGTCTTGAATTGATTGACCTTGACTTGAATTTATATGAATTATCTTAAGACACAAAATTCATTTAATATTTTATGCAACACAGTAGGAAAAAGTGTCAAGAGAAAATAAAAATGTTGTACAAAAATTGTCTTTTCAAGATACAATTCGTTTAACATTGACAACACAATAGGGAAAAAGTGTCGCAGAGAGAAAAAAAAAAAGTAGGTTGTACATAGGGCTGTCGCGATAACCGCAATATCGCAATACCACGCTATTGACGAGCAAACCGCAGAGGAATGCAAGAACCGCAGCAACCGCGATTTTT